GATAACTGCTTTCAAACAGGAATTAAGCATCTTTGACTATACTTTTAAAACTGCAGTGATACAGTGGAGTGAGTCACTGCTATACATTTCAGCTTCTATTTTATCTGCTATTGTAACCATTTCAAAGTACAAACTAGTGATTAAATGGCCAGTCTGTCACATAAACAAGAACCTCAAAGCCCAACCAAAACACCCCAACCCTAAAAGCAGGGTACATTACTGCTGTACTTTATCTTGAGAGAGCCCTTGGTTTGGTCTGCCCCAAGCTCTGCTGCACCAGACAGAACCTGGAAGGTTCTGGAATACCTGGAATACCTAAAAAGGCCATTGCACCAGCAGGACCTTGGAACAGCTCCCTTAGAAGAGAGGTGAAACTACACCACAGTAGGTTTTCTCCCCCAACCCTCATTCACACAGTGGAGTGAATGTCTAAGCTGAGCTTCCCCAGGCATCTTGAAGTTTTCAAAGGAGGGCACAGATGCTTTTCCCTACTTCCTCCCCTTTGTTGCACTAAGGAAGTAGAGTAATAAAAAGAGAGATAGCATCTGCAATTAAAAAAACCCAAAACTGTATGTTTCAGAGTCATAGTGACCCCACTCAGTTCCTTATCATACAAAGACATAAAGCTAATTTGTATGTCAGACTGTCAGATGGAGCAGACTTAAACTGACTGAAGAGATTCTAGAGAATAAATAAAAAAAAGCAAGAAATACAGAAACAATGGCATTGTTTTCTAAAACCATGTGATCTCTTTCCTGTTTGTCAATAACAAGCAACATTTTAAGCTTAGAAGATAACAAAAACTACAGGCTTTGGAAGAAAAAAAGAATTAGAAGGAAACAGAAACTATCACTTCTTCTGCCTAGAGATTTCACAAAGGTAAATTCCTCTTTCCAAAATCTAAGTATTTCAAGATGTAGGGCAAGCACAGCAAAGTCTGTATAAACACACACTCAAAATTGCTTTCTCTCTTGTGTGACTCAACAAAACTTACATAATCTTCATTCTCTGGAGGAGGATTGTTTCCTGCTGAAGTGCTGGCTCTGTTTTCAAATACATCTGCAAGTTTGTCAGCAGCATCAGGAAATAAGAACTTGAAGAGAAAAAATTAACCTTCCATCAGTATGGTTTTACTGCTTTTCCCACTTTCTCCATAAAGCTACTGCTGCCTTCATACCAGCAATCCCTATAATTAAAATTGTTAGCAGAGTTCAGAGGTCAGTTTTAGCCCACTTACAGAACACAGACTTGTAACAACTTGGGCTGTTCCAAGCTGATAAAATACTGGAACTGACATCAGATATTTTTACATCTGCCATAGGCTCTAAACCAAATGCATCCGTGTATGAAGTCCATGTGTTCTCTGAATCCATGTGCAGGGACAGCTCACTCACCAGGAGAATGGTGTTCAGCACATCATTGTTCAAAGGAGACTCATCCACACCTCTGTGCTTGCGGATCTTTTTCTTGGCACTGTGAACCATATTGGTGACTGATAATTTGGGGATTGGGACAGGTGCTGGCTCTGTGAGCTTCGACAGTGCGTGGGTGATATCAGCAACGTCTAGCAAATAAAATAAAAGCAATTAGAACAACATTTTTTAAACCCCTAACATTAGATTATGTCTCTTCAAAAGCTGACCTGTCGTAATCAGCCTATTTACCTTGTATTGATATTTAACCCTTGTGAACCAGAGCTACACCTCTGTGGGCAGGTTCCATGCCTGACATTCACTGTTCTTAGCAAATACAAGCAGCAGCAGGAGGTCACAAATGAGTCACAGACTGCTCTTGATTCAATTCACCAAATAAAGTCTAGACTGAGCTGGCTGCAGGTAGTGCCTGCTGTAGCAGCACTGCTACTGCAGAGTTACCAACAGAGTATCCCAAAAGCCTGCTGAAGACTCGGGTGTTTAAACCCTGTTCATACATTATATTAATAAACACACTGCAGGTAACAGAGACTGCTCCAGCACATGCTAAGGCTTTAGATAAATCTTAAATAAATCCTGTATTAATCACTGGGCTCACACAGTGTAAGCACAATTCTGTTTTAGAGTCTTCAGGTAAACTCAAATCAAAAGACTGTTTTTTCTTCTGAGCTTCTGCTGGTAAACTTTAGAATGTCTCTTACAATAAACTGAATTAATACTGTTATAAGGAGAGCTGACAAATTTAATGTTAAACTTAAGTGTTAATTAGTAGCAGCAGCCTGAAAAAGCCCATCTTGGTAAGATAAGAGATAAGAAAGACTAAAGAAACTGTATGTCATGCACTATGAGTAATACACACCCTCCTCAGTCTAACACCTTTTTAAGCTCACTAGCAAGCCTCTTCCAAACTAAGATCAAGAATAACCAAGGAAAATACATTGATACAGGCCATATTTGGAGGGAAGAACAGGTGTCAAGCATCAAGAATACACAGCACTATATACAGCAAGAAAAGCCAAGGAGAGGGACAGAGACATCAAAATGATGGCACTATTTATATCGTTGGGATAAAGCCTGACTTGCTGACCAGATAATTTGGGAAGTTTTTATTTTCCTTTTTCCTAAAAAGTTCTTAAAATGGAGAGGATGAGAGGAAAGCCTTTCAAACAGATTAAAGACTCTTTAAACTGGTTGTTAACATGTACTACAGAGTACATCAAAAAAGGAGAAAGAAGTGCAAAAAGCAAAAACACATAAAACTATACAGACAAATCTCATGCATCCTATAACCAACTCTTGTACACTGTAGTCACATTTTAAGCTTTTATATTCCTGCAAAAGGAAACAGCCACAACCATAACAGGAGCAATTGTTCCTCTGGGACTCTGGGAGCTGAACTAGAATTCATGAGAAATTTCACCAGAAATTTGGCCAGAAAATTCCCAGGAGTACTACAGAGAATGTGGAAGTTATAAATACCAGTCAAGGGTACAGGGGAGGTAAACTAACACAAAACAGTTACATACAAATAACACAAATCAACTGGATTTTAGTTTTACCTTTTCCTTCCTCATCAAATGCAGACCTTCCAAGTATCTCATCAGTTGACTCCTTCCGACGGCAAAGCTTGAAGAACTCAGTGAGGAAATCACCTGTAAGAGGAACAAATCTTCTGAACTCAACCAAACATCTCACTGAACAATGAGCCAGCACTCCAAATTATACTCCAAGGACAGTCATTTTTATCTTTTCTTCTCAAAGAACATCTGGTAATTTGTTCTGAAGCCCAAATATCTTAAACCACATAATTAAAGCTTAGGTAAATGCACTCCCAGTCAGCTCTTGGCCACCTCTCCAGAACACAGCTCTGTCTGTAGTTTAATTCACCCAAAGCAAGACAAAACTTGGACAGTTTTGAAGCCCTTTTCCCCACAGGCTCAAAGGCAAGGACAGACAGGGAAGTAGAGCTCTCCAGAAGTATTAATCCTCCCTATCATACAGGCTGGTTGAACTAAGGAGATGGATACATGCAAAACACACTTAATAAAATGGGAAGATTCTAGAAAAACTAAATTTTCTCAGAACACAGAGAAAATTCTTATTCTCTGGAACCTGGTGAAATAAGAACAGCAATGAATTTCACCATACACAGAATAAACTACAACAGGAACTTAAGTATTAGCAAAGCTTATGTTCTTGAAAAAGAAGCCCAAAATACTGTTTACTCAAAAAAATAAGGGGAGTAAGCAAACAGAGACCATCAAGTAATCAACAATTCAACCCTAACTTCATAACTTAATAGTTATAGTTTAAAAGCTGCAAGAGAAGACAAGAAATTCTGATGTCTTACCCAATAGACACTGAGGGTTATCTGCTTTTCTAACTCTCACAGACCACTGGGGTGCTTGAAGTGGATCCAGGTCGCTTGAGGTTAAAAAAAAAAATTTAAAAAGGAAAAGAAAAAAAGAAAAGAAAAAAGAAAACCAACTGCCACTATAAGTATTGGAAAGATGAGTATCAAATTCTCAATAAATGTCATGTCATAACCAGTGAGGTCACCACATTACATAGGAGAACACAAACACTGAAATTCAAGCAAGAATCCCTGTTCTCATGTATGTACATGACATGAACAAGAGACGCTTCCTCCTCTTTAGCAGAAAACCTGGATCACAGTTATTGGGAGAGGGACATCAAGCAGTGAATTCTTTTTACCTTCCATTCTCCACTATCATCTTTTCCAGGAAATACATGATACACAAAATTTTCAAGTCTAACATGAGAATATGCTCAAAACCAGGGGTTTGTGTTCTGTTGAGATTATAACAGAATAATATTTTCTCACAGAAATGCATTTCAAAAGTGTTTTCCCAAATCAGACGTTCTATCAGCTGACATTAACATTCCTCAAAATGGGTTCTTTTTCACATGCAAAGCCACGCAGTGTTTGAGATGACACTCAAATGCAGCAATGAGCAAAAAAGCACTTATTTGCAACTCAGAGAAGATACTTACGAATAAACATCATTGTCAACAATTATCCCTTCTGCGAGGTGAGGCCATGTTGTAGCTAAATGCAGCTCACTGAAACAAAACAAGATTTGAGTCTTTCAGTGATAGCAAAGTGTTCCCTTCATCACAGTTCATGTTGTGATAGCTCATATTTGATTCCCTCTATGTATTTTGTTCTCCAGTAAGTTTTCTCACTGCATACATGAGAACAAGTCTAACCCTTGAACAAAAGCACATCATTTTTAAGGTTCATCTTAATAATTTCAGAGATAAATGGGGTACTGTAGAAGTTTATAGTAAAAGTCATATGAGCTTGAACTCTAAATATCATCAGACAATTGTACAAATGGTTTTATTTGCTATTAAACTATTACTTTTTGCAGATGTTTCTGATGTACTTGAATAATTAAGTATCTGTTGGGCACCCTAAGTAGTAGGTAGGCAACACTGAGATTTGAAATAACACACCTTTAAGTCCTCCATTAAGGAAGTTATAAAACAGTTTTCTGAGCTCTTCTCTTACCTAATAGGATCTTCACAGGCACCAAATGGTAACTTCCCAAATTCCAAGCCTCCAACTTCTCCCCCAACTAGAGCATCTATATCTGGAGAAAAATCAACACATTTTCCATGAAGAATTTGTGGAACTTTTGAAGCAGCATTCATTTCACTGCAAAGACTGTAACTTGCAGGATGACCAGAGAAGAGCTGAGCAGTTAAGGTGACTGAGCTAGAAGACAATCCTAACATACAGTCAGAGTAATTGCTTCCAACAGAAACTGTGAAGTAACCATGAAACAGGACATTCAAAGGGACAGATAAAATTCTTGTCATTCATGCTGAGGGAAGGTTATTCCCTTCATACAGGCAATGATGATCACTACAAGGACAGCCCTAAAGATTCAATGTTGGCACAAGAACAGACACAAAAGTGCCATAAAAATACTTGGGCATGAAATTAGGTCCAAGCAGAAAAGAAAGACTCTGGAAGAGCAACTCTGCAGGGTGGAAAAAATAACTACTTTAAAAAGTTGACAATTTTATCCATAGAGGACTTAAATGATCTTGGGGATTCCCTGTAGTCCCAAGTACTTAGAGATGTCTCCCAGCACCCTCAGGCACTTCCCATGTTGTAGACATCAAATACATAAACCAAAACCAGACAGCCTCCACTGAACAAAAATTAAAGTGGGTAATAATAATAATGTACTGTAATGCCATTATAATAATGCTGCTACAGCTTCTGATCTGCAATTTTAACTGCATCTGGCAAACTGTTTACAAACAAAACAAGTGAGGTATTAGCACAGATAAAGTGTCTGGATAACTTAATTATATAATTTCTTCTGCAGAGAAGATAAAAGACATTTAAATTCTTTGGTTTTATTTGAGAAGAGCTAAATGAATTACAGTATACAAGTTACAGGTCTAGTTCTTCTCAGTGAACGTAAAACCACAACTGCACGTAGCAATAGCAGTAAAACTCATCCTGTCCATCTCCAGTTTCTGCAACACACTTTGACACCAGCTCCCTTAACCACAATACTACTACTACTAAAGGAGAGGAATTTATTCAAACTGTTCCAATCAAGAAATATGATCAGAGTGATACAACTCATCCATGACAAACCTGAGATCCTGACTTAGTGAGTAACTACAGCAAGGCAGAAAGACTACATAAAATATATATTGTGTCTGCAGAAACAATAAAAAGATAAAATCTGAAGAATACATTTCCCAAGTTCTACTTAGGTAAACTTGATTAACCAGAGAGGAACTATCATTTAAAACAGCACTGATTTTCTATAATAAGCAGGACTCACTTTAAACTTATGTTCAACATACATTCCTTAGCTACAAAGCAAAGTATCCCTAAGTATCAACCTCACTGCACACTTCTTCAAAACATAGGATTTTGATTAGTGTACTTTTTTAAGCAAAGGAAAGCCAAATAATTAGATAACCAAGGCCACATGGGCTCTGTCTCTTCAAGGTACAATACCTCAAGCTTGTTATGTAAAACTGCTACCAAGAAAAGAACTTAGGCATTTTAACTGTTCCACCACCTTATAACATCACATCAATAATAAAATGTTAAGGAGAAACTAATATCTACCTTTCTCCTATGGGTTTGTTTACCTTTGAGAAGTTTATAATTTCTTTTCTGATACTACCTATATAGAAATAAGTTCTGTTAAAAACAAATCCTTGATACTCAAGGAAGACAGCACCACCATCAAGCAACAATATGAGATTATTTTGAGAGTACTAAATGAGTAACTACCTCTGTTTTTCCTAAACAGCATCACTAAGGCATAAACTCACCAAGTCTGCTCTACATACTTTAAATGCAAGACTATATATTATTTCTCCCCTTCATGCAAAGATACTGGAACGAAAGACTCGATTAGAAATTCCTCCTGCATTAAATTTAGTACTGTGTCAGCAACAACAAAGATCCAAACCTTTACCTCAAGTGAGGTCCACATAGTATTTTCTGCTTTTCTCACTGTTAATACACTTAAACAGTGAAGTATCAAAATAAGGTACTTTATGGAAACAATTGACAAAAACTTCCCACAAAGTATTAGCATCTACTAGAATCTGAATCTAAACATTTCCTCAAGAAATTCAGGGCAGAATTCTTCACAGATTCAGCCACCCTTTTCATTCCACATAGATACCACCATTTTAGAAATATCACTGTATTTCTAAATGCTGACTAACTCATGTTTCCAGGCATAGACCTACCCAAAACAACTGTTCCAGCCATGAGCTACAACCTGAGAGCAGCTTTAAACTGGCTCGCCCATCATACAGAGTGGGATTGGACTGAAGCCTTTCTTAGTAAAGGAGAAAATGTTTGAATTCTTCTGGCAAGATACACAAATATTTTCTTTAGCATTGACTGGTTGTCTGAAAATGAGTTATTCTGAGGACACAAGTCTCCTACCTGGTGGCTGCTGTGGCCAGAAGTACTGCTGCCAGTCCTGGAGCACAAAGGTAAGCCGAATAGCTATGCTAACTGGAGGCAGTGGTGTTAAAGGGCAGCCCTTCAAAATATCAGAGAACAAATTCAATGTAAAGAGTAAATCCTCTCAAACACTCTAGGGATTGAACATAAATTATATATATAACATCAGTTTTATACTTACAATCTTGGTTTTGAAGATGTCCAGCAGGCCTGATAAATGGGTGTACTGGCTGGGTACCTTGCGCAGATGAACCATCTCAAAGTCCGTGCGAACGCCCGGGCCCTGGCACTCCCCGACGTACATCCGGCGCCACTTGTGATGGATTTGCACAAACAGTGGCACCTGACTATAAACCAGGAATACTTCAGATTATTTCTCTTGCTGTCTTGTAGTCTCTAAATCTAGCCTTTATGGTTTTTAAATAATAATGAAAATAAACAAAACATCAATTCTATCTTTATACGTGGGAATTACTTTTTAATCCTTCTCTAACAATATATCAGTGCAAATACAAAAAGCTTTTAATGTATTTTGCTAACATGTTAATGTTTTTTCCTCACAAATGCAGCATGCTGGAGTTCTACCTGGACATGTAAAAAGGTTTATGCTTTCACCTACCAGCCAGTGTTGCCCAGTGCAATGGAAACGGAACTCAGCAAGAGGTTACACTTGGATTCACTAACAACAGCATCGTTATTTGCAGCTGGAGCAATAACCACAAACTCACGTAAGCCGTACCTAGAGAGAAAAAAGCACACTTCTAGTCTCTGGCAAGGCAGATGAAACACAATTTTTCAAAAATATTGTGACCTAGAGAGCCTAACTGTCACCAACACACTGTGGAATCTGTTAATTTGATGAAAGTATCTCTTTTATTTTTAGAGAGGTCAACAACTGAGGGGGCATGGAGTGCTGCAGATCCTAAAATCACAAACTAACTGAGCTTAACAGCATTCCAACACTGTAATGTGTTTGATTGGGAGGACTTCCAGGTCTAACAGTGCTGAGGTTTTCTAGTTTATATTAGTAACAACTGAAACTATTAATACATAAAACCAATCTCTCTAGGAGCAATGCTATTATATACTCAAGATTTGCATTACTAGGAATATAGTTGTTGTTTCTTCAGGTGGTGCAGCTTTCCTTTTTAAGAATGTACCTAAATATTACATATACAAAAGCCTGGTTAATATATGAAATTGAGACAAGTATTTGGGGGAGAAAAAATCCAAATATAAGATAGGCCCACTATGGGAGCCTTTTTTTGCACTTCTTTCTTGTGTCTAGTATAAAGAATCATTTTACTTAAGCTTTAACATTTAATTGAAAAATCAAATTTACAACTGATTGTGCCAGATTTTCCACCTGCTCTGCTCATTTGCAGTAGAGATGAAAGGCAGCACACATACCATCTCACCAGACAGTGGGCCCGAGGAGGAAAGTCATTGTTCATGCACAGCAAGTCCTGCATTGGCAGAGGGAGGGCATCTGTGACAAAAAATGACACATAATCAATGTATCATCACATCCATCCAGCTCACTTACAGTTGCCTTGTATCAGCACTGTGAGAATGCAAAGCAAACTAAAAGCAGAAATGTCAGATCACACTCATCAGACCTCAGAAAATCCCACACAGATGCAAATCAGCACACTGTGGACTCCACATTCTGACACTGTCTTCTGTCATTATCCTTACAACTATGGAAGGGAACTATCAGGTACCTTCTCCCAGCTCTTCCTTCCCATCTTTGTCACTGGGCTCTTGTACAAGATAATGATGGGTAACTGAGAATCTGAAGTCTGCAAATGAAATTTCATCCGATTTCTCTTCCCATGTTCCTGTGGTAAATATACCCTGCATATAAAAAAAGAAGATATTATCTCATAAATTTTGGTTAACATTCATTAGTCTTTAAAAGTGTATTGCCTATGTGATCAGTAATGTTTATTCATGGTTTTCTACTGTCTAATGGCTTAGCATGATGTAATTTCAAAAAGCAATTCTTAAAGCTCTTCATTATAAAGGTAGCTGGCTGCTAAGGTCCATGTTGCCAATAATCACGTTCATTCCAAAAATCAAATATCATCTTGCTGTCTTCAGAACTATATAGCAATAAGGATTTGCATCCTCCCATATGCAACTGCACATCTGAAGATATACACCCTCAACTTCACCCAGAGACAGACGTTTCCCACCTAGGATTCTATCTATATCTAAACCATTCCATGGAAATATTAACTTGATATTTATTTTCACCAACGAAGTATTATTTTTTTCTATAACTTACAAAACTTCTGTAAGGATAATTAATTACTTAACAAAAATACAGCATGAGAATGTATAAGAAAATCAGCACTACTGCTCCTACTAAAAACAACTTGGGCAATCCTTTGATCTTAAAGGGTGTTAAGAAGAGAGCTCTGGTCTAGAAAAGAAGACATGTAGGAATACAGGGACAGCTAAGGTGCAGTTCATTAGATAATATAAGTTTTTAGTCCAAATACTCTGTACCTGACTAGAATGAAAAGCAGTAAGCAGTAAGATTCCTCTGGAAACACAGCAGCCATTCCATACAAACCAGCTGAGTTTATCTGCATTACTATGCAGAAGAGCTCAGCAATTTCCTCTGCATTTCACAGGACTGAGAAAGCATCACAAAGGCTCTAATTAGACTCCAAAAAAAATCTCTCACATCTACGAAACACACTGAGTCACAAGTAGCACTGTGCAAACCTCAGCCATAAGTACATGAGGTGTGACAAAGGTACAAGGCAGGACAAAAGGATTCTTTAAGTGTTCAGTGCAGCGTTCAGCATGTTTCCAGATTCAAACTGAGAATTAAAAAAAATAAATATCACCAAGTCCTATATGAAGATCCATCTTTGTCCGGGAAACAGCCTGTTTGGCAAACGGCCCACCAATAAACTTACAGCAATTGTCTGTCAAACTGATATTTCTAAAAGTGAAGTTCCCCAATAAAGTCATTAACTGCCACACCTAGGAAAACAGCAATAGATTAAATACATGTGTGCATTATTGTATTACTACATTATTGTATTACTAGTTAGCAATTTAAATTCTACGGGAAAATTCAGAAGCAGTAACTGACCTTCTCTAGAGGTTTGCCTGAAGAAATCCCAATCAGTTTCCAGTCATTTAATACTTCTTCTATTTTTGAAATAAATCTGTTAGGGAGGGGAAAAGGCATTAATATTTGCTGAACACTAAACATGTATTATAATTCAACCACCTAAAAGCAGGCAGTATGTTGTTCTACTATGGCATTCCTTAAAAAAGCCCAAAGAAAAACAAACAAATATCACAACAAGTATCACAGTAAAGCCAAACCAACTGCTTCCTTATACACAAAACAGTCTTCCTATGCTTGAATTTTACATAATAGTTACTTTTAGCTATGAGCATCTTTTGACTGTTTTAAGAATCTCACCTTTTTCTGGTACTGCAGCACTTAACATTTAACTCCTGTTTCATTGTTCACAGATAGGTAAGTTTTAAAGACAAAATTATACACTAAATTCAGATTTAAAGCACACCACTTGAAATCAACTTTTTCCCGTCATAAACGCTGTCACTATTGGGAAAAGCATTTAAAAAACAATACATTCGCAATGTAAGAGCGTTCTTCACCTTAAATTTCTTCGTACCTTGTTCTACTAACTTTTAAAGGTTTCAGCTATGAGATGACTATCTTAACAATCAGACAGCTACTTAGAAAACACATACGCCTTGTGAGTGTATATTCTAATCCCCTGCAAACAGGTATTAAACCGGACCTTCCACTAAGTTCAGAAACAGCTCAACTAGAGCCTCTTAACCGGCTCCTCGGCCGCGGCCTGAGCCTAACGCGGAAGAGCCGGGAAAGGCTCCGGGTGCTCCCGGCTGGAGGGAGCGGCCTCGCCGCGGGCTGCGGCTGTGCCCGGCAGGAGCGGCCGGGCCGGGCTCGGCGGAGCATCCGCGTCCCCCCGCGCTGAGTGAGGGGCGCGGCAGCACCTACCTCTCCCACTCGGAGGCGGTGGTGAAGTCCGTGATCTCGAACACCTCCGACTCGGGCTGCGGGGAGAGAGCGGGAGAGGCGGTGAGCGGAGACAGCAGGGGCAGAGAAGGGAGAGTCGGGGGACAGGGAGAAAGCGGGAGGAGCCGGACACACACTCACTTCACTGTCCGCCGCCATCTTGCGCCGCTGCCACCCCCCAGCGGCGGAGGCTGCCGGGAACGCGGTGGAGGGCGGCGCCTCCTCATAGTCTGGACCTCACTCACAGCCCGCTTTCCCTTCAGAGCCTGTCGCTCTCGGGCTCGCTTACCGCCCGGTTTTCCCCCACAGCGCGTCCCTGTTGGGCTCCCTCGCAGTCCGTCATGGCTCGTCCCGGCGGGGCTCCCGCCCCGGCTCCTGCCTCCCCGGGCTCCCCGGCTCTTTCCTTCCCGGCTGGCTGCAGCCTCTCAAGGGGACGCTTCACACCGGGCGCGAAGATGAAGCGGGGGCTGCTCCCACAGATTCTCCGGCTCCGTCAGAGACAGTCGAGAAGGGCTCCCTCAGATGTACGAGTAACACAGCCCTTGTCAAACAGCCGGGGCTGTGGTGTTCCCCAGGACTGGTCTCCCTGTCCCCCGCCTAATCCAAAGCCTTCCCTGTCGCTTGTGTCACTCGGGGGACGCCGACAAATCCTTCCGGCATGCAGCAAAACAGCTCCCTTAAACACCCTTTAAACTCTGCTTCAGCCCACTATCCCTCTTTTATCTTGTCTTGCCCCTTAGCACGGTCCGTTACTTAAAAAAGAAGAGGAAATATCCTTAAAATCTGCGGCTAGAAAGGAGATGACAAATACTCGTGAGGGGACTGAGTGCGAAGTAAAAATGACGTGGGAAACATGCCAGGTGCTAAAAGCATAAACGGAGGTAAACATAAGTTAGAAATAGGGTTTGGTTTGTGTGCTGAGAGAAGTTGCGATTAGAGCCTAAACTGCTGCCGTTTAGCTCGGCTGTGTTTGTTTTCATAGGTCACTGCTGCTCTTTGAATTAAACTGCTCCCGGCCCAATTTCTCCCGGGGTGAGGAGGTTACCTGGAGACATGGTGTAAACTCAACAGCCCCGCGTAGCCGCAGTGCCTGCAGCCTCTGCCTCGAGAATTGTGCTCCGCACTCAGGGAAACAGCCGAAAATAAAAACAAAGTGTGTGTGATTGCTGTCCAATTCCTCACTGGCCAGCAAAGGAAGGCAGCTGCGAGCTGAAAATGCTCTGTAACTTGCCTTTGGGTTGCTCTGCCACTTTCACTTTTAGCTGCTGAAGAACCAGGTAAGATGTGTAAGATTTTTGCCTTTTTACAGAACATTCTCTGTTATTGTTTTGAAGTGGTTTTTTGTGTATCCAAAAAAATTGTGAAGTTCATAGAAGTTCATCATCTGACTCTTAAGAGGCAAATATAATGGGATGAACATTGGAATGGATTATCTGGGTTTTAGCATAATAAATCAAGAGTGCTGGCTTCTATAGCTACTTCTCTAGCTAATTTCACTGTCTTTAATTTGTATTGTTGTCACTTGAAAAAACAAAGTTCACTATGATTTTCAGGAAGACTCCCAAATCCATCAAAGCTATCAACTGGGTTTAATTTTCTCTTAAGAATTAGCTTTCTGGAATTCCAAAAGTCCCAATCCTTTGACTTAACCCTCTCACGTTTCTTCCTTATGAGTCTGCACTTTGGGATTGTTCTGTTATTTCTGCCACTGTAATCCTATGGTATTGTTGGAGTTTAATCTTGGAAAAGAGGGTTGATGTTTATAGAATTATGAAGCAGCTCCCAGCACACTCACCACAGCCAAGGACAGTGGTGACTGGATCAGGGTCAGTATTACCCACACACAGCTGTATTGACCAGGAGGGTGACAGCCAGCTCCTTTCCCACAGTTATTGCTGATTAGTCATAGGAAAGGTACATTACAATCTTCTAATTAAGAGTAAAGTCCTTTCAAGTCAAATTCAGCATAGCATATGTTGTGGTTTTAGCTCTAAAAGCTTTCTTTGGTACTGTGCATTCACAGGAAAGGGACTAGATACTAAATTACAGTACTTTGAATAATTTCAAGTACTTTTAATATATTTTGTCCTTTTTTTGTCTCTTAAATAATTAAATATAATATAATGCTTTGTATATGTGAATAGGAAATCAATTAACAGTTTTCTTTCCAGGTTTCTGGGCGTTAATACATTTAAAGACCATATGTCTGACAATCAACAGGATAAGAGGAGAAGCAAAAAAGGTAGTCTAATCCACAGCTTATATGTTTAAAGTGTAAAATGTAGATCTGAAGCTGGAAAAGTACAGTAACAACTTGAAATATGGCTATTTGTCAAAACTTAACAACCACAAAAAAATACAAAATCAAACTCAGAGTTACTTTCCACCTTTGTGAAGGCCTGAGGTTTGGTTTGTTTATTGTATTTTTAAATGCTCTCCTTCTTTAGAGTTCCTGTCAGTACTTGTCTTCTCTTTCTGTTCTCCTTAAATAGGAGCTGTAACTGACTTTTTTAACATGTTCTTTGCTTTTATAGTACATTGAATTAATAAACTTACCAAAAAAATAAAAATAATTCAAAGTTATGCATTCACATTTCAATAAATTACAAAAATTAATCAAAGTTATGCATTCACATTTCAATAAATTACAAAAATTAATCAAATGTAACTTGCTCTTGTTCCTTTTCCTGATAGTTACTCTCTGTACTTCTTTATAACAGTATTTTAATGCCTCAAAATAACTGCATTTGCCATGTGTTATTTGCATTAAACTGCTTTTATGCAAATATTAATGTATTACTGCAGGTTGTGGAAGTGTTGCTGTGGACAATATAATGGAAGAAATGCATCAGTCAGACAAAGTTCTAGGAAAAACCAGGTAAGAAGTATCAGTATTTAATTTGCACTTGGGTATGCACAAATGGGAACAAAGAAAGTAATAGTCTGAATAAGAAAAATATTTTCTACACATTATATACAGGTCTATATATTGTGTAGTGTTTAGCTCTTCCCAGTGTCACTTATTGGCCACTGCTGGAGGCAGGATATTGCATTAAGTGAACAAATTATTTGGTACAATATAAAAAACATGGTACGTGGTTATTTGACTTATTACACCCAGACAATTATCTTGTATACAGCTTTAAGATTAATTTAGTGTACTTTTGTACCTCTTTTCAGTCACAGTATTTATCTTTTTCCATATTTTTCATTCTTCAGAAAACAGGTGTCAGAAAACTGAGGCTTGTCCACGCAGCCTCTGTTTTTCAGGTGGGCCATAGATATTTTGTAAGTAACAAAAGCACATCTTTGTCAGGTCTTCAGAATTCTTCTGACACATTCTCCTGATGATTCATAAAAACTGCACACTGGAAGCAATCAATTTTTGTCAAGAAGGGGAAGGTGAATAATATGTTTTCCAGTTTCTCTTTTTGCCTGGTTAACATTGTTTGTCATTCATCTCACTTGTAGTCAATCTCTGCATTGCAGTCTTGTATTTCCAGGAAGAGTCACAACCTCACAGATAAATAAAGGAAATAGACTTTGGCATTCTGGGATCTTACAAACCTCTCGGTCACATTATTCACCAGCCATATGATGGTTTGAACTGTCTTCTTCCACTTATTTTTGCTCTGTATTTTGGTTATTTTTGTTTTGCCTTTTAGCCAAATTGCACCAACATCCAGAACACAGCCAGACCAACAAGTGGCGTGTTTTCCAAGTAAAAATCAGATTGCATTACCCAGGAAACATCACACTTCTTTACCTTTCTTCTCAAAGAAAGAGAACATGGGATGTGGCTTTGGCTTCAACTTTCTGCTACAGACCTCATGCCCAGAATCTAACATTTCAACATCATTTATGGATTTAGATACTTTCCAGATAATAAAAGCACAAATACAACGAAGTAAGTTCCATTTTAGAAGTCACACATTTTATATAAATTTATATATTGGTTATCATATTGCCTTTATGTCTTTGCCATCTTCAGAGAAACTTCAGCCATGTCAGCCCTCTTCTTTAATTTTGTGTGGGTTTGCAAAATGAAGGAGATAAAGAGAAGCAATGACAAATTTCATCATTCCTGTGTAGTGAAACTGAGTCACAAATGTGGAGTGTAATTGTACCTGGAGTGATGACATCTTTCTCCCTCATACTGGCAATATTAATTAGCTATGTAATTAGCTATATGTAGACGTTTGTAGTTACCAAAGATCTACAATTGAGAAGTATTTCTTTAAATTATTAGTGTAAAAATATTTTGAAATTATAGTATTTTATTGTTTTCTATGGAAAATGGAACTGTGACGTTCAGTATCTTCAATAAAATTTCAACCTACAGCTTTTTTTCTGCACTACAGATTTATAGCACAGTCCTGCAACCAGAGACAGACCTTGATCCCCTGAACAATTTGAAATTAATTTATAAATGTGAATTGCAGTCTGTTTAAGAACATCAAATTAATTTTTAATTTGTTTTAATTTTTAAGGGTTAAATGTAACAATGCTAAAAACCAGGAACAAGAAATCTGAGGTAAGAGGACATTATGTATAAAATGATCACCGGCGAAAGTATTACATCCTTTCAAAATACTAGAAATACAGAAGTAGTGTAGGTAGTTTGCTTAGTCTCAGATTTTTATTTTTTTTTAAGAATGTGAAGTATTTTCACATTTATTTTATTTATATGTATGTCAGCAAATCTTGAGATGTATATCAACAAATTATCAGCAAGATGTTACATCAGAGACTTCTGAAGATAAAAGGTTGAAAGTTCAAAAAGATAAAAAATGTTTAGAAATATGTAAATGCACATCCCATATGTTAAATTAGGTGTCTAGTTTTGCCAAAAATCCCAACACTTATTTTAAATGGTAATTTAAAATTGAAGCTGAATTTTAAAATAGTCTTGTTATTAGATGATTGATGAAATTTATTGTGTTAGCAAATAAAAAATAGTCTTTTAGAATTAAAAATACTTGACATGAGATTTTGTGAAAAGTGTAAATAGGATTAGACAAAACTTTTGTACCTAGAAACAGGCTCACTATTTTACATCTCAAAACTTCACACTACTTTAAATATACTGTGTTTAGAAAAAAAAATAATTTGGCCTTCATTTATATTAATTAATAGCCTTTTGTAGAAAAGACTCAACTCATTGAATCAGATGGATACTTCAATGAACCCATCACAGAATAGTGAAGTATAGAAGTAAGAACAAGAGTTCTGACACAGGATTATGAAAAAGGTTATGGAAAAATAAAACCCAAGTGGAGGGAAATATTTAAGAAAAATAATTTAGCTGCCCTTGGTGTGATTTAATGCAGCTTTATTTCATGTCTTGGGCTCTGGTGCTTTTTAAAGGTGTATCTTTACACCTTATTTTATTTGTTATTTGGGATAAACTAAGCATTCATACTAATGCCATTCAGGCTGGACAAAGCCTTCAGAACTGTGAATTTCAAACCAACACATTGCTTTTCCTGGCATGTTCAGACCTCAGTTTGTCCTTGGAATGCAAACAAAAATTTCCTGCAGATTGCAAACTGATGTTGAAAATAGACATGCAAATGAGCACTCAGAGCAGATGACTGTGTGATTATTTCTATTGCATTCATTTGCATAAAAATATTCATTTCCTATAAAATAATGAACAGAAATACTATTTTCAGAAAATCATTCTCACTATTCATCTGAACAGTCCAAACAAAGTACTCAGTTTCTCTGATCTGTACTCCTTCAAATGTAATGGTACCTTTCAACAAATATGATGGGGAGAAGGAGGAATAATAAAGCACATCCGTGACCCAGCAGAATTCTGTCTCAGCTGCCTTGGGTTCTATCCATTTCACTTCACTGCAAATCAAGTGCAGACAGTGCTGTCTTCCAGTGTACCTAAAACTGTGAGCTAAATCTGTGCCCATTTACCATAGTTTATGGATCTATATGTTTGTATTTAATACAATGTATCTTAAAGTCTAGAAATAATTTGTTAGAATTGTTTTCTCCAGGGATGCAATAGCATTCTGTTGTAATGGTCTAGTTTTCCTTTTGAAAAATTGCTTACATGAGCTCTAGTTCCGTTGGGAATATAATTAATGGTGGCAGCACACATTAGAGGGTTACATAAAAAGACTTTAAACATCAGTATTAGAGTGGTGCTCTCATTCAGGGAAAGTGCACAGCGAGAGAGGATTTCTGCCACATGAAGCCACTACCCAGCCTTTGAATTCCTGTAGCAAACACGTGAAGTGCAGGAAGACAGAGTTAATAACTGACAAGAAGGTTTGTACATGTGGACAAAATTTACTCTTTTAAAGTCATGGAGAATGACTTGTGCCTTAAAGCAAAAGATCCCCCTTTCTGTACTAAGAAATACTTAGAAATATTTCTGGATCAGAGAAAATTAATGCAATTAATGTGAGAGAAATAGTGTATTTCCTCAGGAGTCTGATATTATACTTCAAAATATGTTTAATATAGGAATTTATAAAATAATAATAATGTTCTATTTTTTTTCTAAGTCTGTTCTGTTCTTAGTGATTAGTTTTTACCTGTATCTGTGGAGTAGCACATTATTAATTTTTTTAATGGAAATTACAGTTTCATTTGCCACCACTGACATGTCAGCCTGTAAGAACAATTCATCTTGCTCCTCTAAAGGATGATATTGTCAATGAAAGCAGCAACATCAGAAATATTTTAAAAATTATGAACTCTGTTCCTCAGCCTATAAAACCAGTTTCTAAGGTTTATCAGTATCAGTTGGACAACTTATTAAACAGGCACAGTGAAAAGAAATTACCAGAATTGATCATGGCCACAGTTTCTGGCAAGTTCACTCCAGTGAAGGACTTGTACTACTTCAGCATTAATAACTGTGATAAGTACCCCAACAACAGGAAGGAAGAAATCCAAAGCTATTTAAAATGGAGGGAAGCTGATGTAAAAATCCACACTGAGAAGAAGAACCAGGTGAAGTTCCAGTGTTCAGTGGTTTGTGAGAACATCAGTCTTCTGAGCCCAGCCAGGTTCTGGGATGAGAGTCATCCCCACTTGAGCTCAAGCAATGCTCTGGGGAACTGTGGCATGTTCACAGCCCAGACAACATTTACAATGTCCAGCAACAGCGATGCCTCAAGAGCCGGCAATAAGCAAAATGAAGCAGAGAATTGCTGTAGCACTGGTCTGGAAGAGGAAAATGCTACAGAGATGATGCAGGGTTATAAACCACAGGAAGATGCCAAGAGTGCCAACTTTGTGCTTTGCAATCAGGATTTAGATTCTTCCTGTGGAAATGAAGTGATAGAGGTGTACAAAGCTTTAGAAGATAATTCTGTAGTTGCTGTAATTCCCCGATTAGAAGTTGAAGATCCCTCTGGAAAAGAGTCAGAAAATCAAATCTGTCCCTCTAAATATGAAATAGAAAAAGAAGCAATGTCAGAAGCAACTTCAGAGGACCAAAGTGAGCTTGTAGCTGTTGCTCATGTTACATTCTCTGAACAAGAGCCAGCCAGGGAACCACACATTGCTGAAAAACCTGCCACAAAAAAGGGTGGTGTCTGTACCCTGCCTCCTCATGTTACTCAGAGCCTCAATGTTCTTGCTCACAAAGAAAATGACAAAAATAAAATAAAGATGAATAGGAATAAATATTCATCAAAATTTAAAATTAATAACAAGATAAAAGTATCTGAAGACTTAATTGCTTCTGATGAGGTTACCACAAAATCAATTGCCAAGACTCAGATTTTTCCATCTTTGGAACTGACAAAAGTGAAATCTGAGACTTCCATGAAGTGTCAGAAAAAAAACACTCAAGGAGACAAAGGCCATGTTTCTCAGAGAGCACAAAAAATTAAAAAGCAAAGTTGCTTCTGCAGTTGCAAAAATTCAACTGCCTTAAAGCAACATGTTACTCCACTTTGTGTGCCACATGCACCCTCTGCTTCAGATTTTGTAGATCTGAAATACACTGACATGTTCAAAATAATAAATTCAGATGACGAAGGCCCAGGTATTTACGAAATGTTTGGAACTCCTGTCTATTCCCACACGCGAGACCTCGATCAGCATGAGGGCAGGTTTCATAAAGGTGTATCTTCTGCTTCACCAGGAAGGTGCACCTGCAGATCTACCTGCAGTAAAGTGGGAGAAAGCAGCAGAGTCAGAAACGCTCAAAAAAACCCACATTCCAAGCCAAAGAAGGTCATACCTGGTGCTAAACAAAAGCAGAAAGGTTTCACCACAAAGGACAGAAGGACCAAGCTGAGTGACAGCAACACAGAGCAAGGTAATGTGACAACTTCTGACTTGGATTCTCAAACACACAGCTCAAGTAACGCAGCATTGTTTCATGGAGACACAGATCATCAGCTCACATTTTTAGAAGAGCTTTCAAGGTCAACTAGCAGAGCAGAACATCTGTGTGCCCCAGTGCAGGAGGGATATGGATGGTGGCAAAGGCCTGGAATCACACCAGGACTTCAAGTCTGACAGTAAATGTGAATTGCCCTTTTCAGATAGACTGCAGTGTCAGTCCCCTACAAAAATAGATCACAATTGGGCAGACACTCCTCAAAACAGTGGTTTGGCAAATGAATGGACTCGACCTTCATTGTTTCAGACAAAAAATGCCAAAAGCCTCAGTTTCCAGACAAGTCAGAACATTTCCTCCTGGGCAGATACTAAGGATGTGACTGATGAGTTGCTTTGTTGTCTGGCCAAAGAATTGCTAATGCTTGAAGAAAAAGACACCAATTCTTCAAGAACAAAAAATACAAGTTCTAAAATACAGAATACACAGAGTGAAGAAGAGGAAATTATGTTGACTGAAGATGGAGCAATAATAAATATTTCTCTAGAGAAGGTAAAAGTAATTTCTTCTTGTAACTTGCTAAATCCTTTGAGTGATGCTTCATGCAAGTTTGGATAAAAAATGGGAAATATGTGCTTATTAAGGAGATTTATCAAGTCTTTTTTCTTTGGGCCACCTGCCCACTGATTCTTCCAGTGCTCTGTTGAATATATCTGTGTTAGAGGCTGCTTGTCAGGACACAAGTCAGAAGGTACTAGGGCATGACAAGAATAGCTGCCAAAGCTTATATAAATTGAGAAATTGTAGTGAATAAAGAGAATAGGCTGTTTCAATTGAAGAGCTTGTATAAAAAGGTTTTGGGCAAGGCAAGAGCTGGAGATCTGGACAGCTAAGGAAGGTGAAAAGACACTACAAATAGTCTTGTATATCCAGAAGGGCAATTACCTTGAATCTCTGAGTTCAACCAGATATTTTTAGAGGTATGAACCACAAGTATTGGTTTATCAGACAGACTTACCCTGTTTGATTAATGCTTAATCAAAACATCGAGCTCAGAAGGCTCAGACTTTGGCCCCAAGATGTGTGCCTTCACCTACTAAGGTGCTTCTCCTTGGTCCCATTAGCTCTTTGTCTATTTAAATTACAAATTTATAAGAAAATGTCTCACTACATATTGATATGCTCCCCTGTGCTTCTGCAGACACAGGTGCCAGCTATAGCTCCATTCTGTTTTCTCCCAGGGAGACCCATGGCTAGATGGGATAATTATTGCCATCTTTTTGAAGAAGTCTCTTCCTGGGAAATCATGGCCTGTTAGTTTCATCAGAATTGTGTTACATGTGTTATTTAGAGCATGTTCAACTTTCAGCTTAGCAAACTGTACCTATGAGACCAAAAAAGAGAGTGTATCCTGCTTTTTTAAGTGCTCTTCTGTCTTGGTGTCACTGGAGAAAGATGCCATGATGTAACCTTTTGGTTATGCTCTGTTGTGATATATACTTGAAAATATTTATGTAGTCTTATCCAGTATAACAATGCTATCAATGACCTGGGCAATTTATATATATAAAAATCTATAAAGCAAAGTCATGCCAGGAAAAATTACTCCTTATGGAAAAAAGGGGACCAAATGAAGCCTGTCTTTTCTTCTCTGCTTTCTCCCCCCACTGGCCTTCATGTTTCAAGCAGAGTTTCAGTAAAGCCTTTTTGGCTTCAAATGAAGAAAATGGCCTTCTGAATTTTGATGAATCTACTAAATTACCAGGAAGCAGTTTGGCTGCCAAAGATCCTGTCATGTGGACAAGAGGAGAAGTCCTTGGAAAGGGAGCCTATGGCACAGTAAGTTGATGTCTGAATATGTTGAGATGTGTTGGTTGTCATTGAGCTACACCTTATCTCAAAAATAGCTGTTGTCCTATTCAACAAATGGTTAAACATTTTTGATTATACAGTGGCCCATGAAACATGACAAAAACAAAGATTCTATTTAAAATAAGTAAATACTCAAGTTCTGTCTCATGTCGTGTTTTGCTAAGTGCTGGTTTCACTGTAGGTGTACTGCGGTCTGACAAGCCAGGGACAGTTAATAGCTGTAAAACAGCTGGTTTTGGATACGTCAGATCAACTCACTACAGAAAAGGAGTATCAGAAGTTCCATGAGGAAGTTGATCTTTTGAAGACATTGAAGCATGTAAATATTGTAACCTATTTAGGAACTTGTCTGGAAGACAACATTTTAAGCATATTCATGGAGTTTGTTCCTGGTGGCTCCATTTCCAGTATTCTGAATCGCTTCGGTCCATTGCCAGAAGTTGTCCTGTGTAAATACACCAAGCAAATTCTACAAGGGGTTGCATATTTACATGACAACTGTGTGGTCCACAGAGACATCAAAGGCAATAACGTGATGCTCATGCCCACCGGGGTAATAAAGCTGATTGACTTTGGCTGTGCCAGGCGCCTGGCCTGGGCCAGCCTCAGCGGCACCCGCGGCGAGCTGCTCAGGTCTGTGCACGGCACTCCCTACTGGATGGCTCCAGAGGTAATAAATGAGTCTGGCTACGGCAGGAAATCAGACATCTGGAGCGTTGGCTGCACCGTGTTTGAGATGGCAACAGGCAAACCCCCTCTGGCTTCCATGGACAGGGTGGCAGCCATGTTCTACATCGGGGCCCACAGGGGGCTGATGCCGGCCCTGCCCGATCGCTTCTCCAGCGCTGCCGTGGAGTTTGTGCACGCCTGCTTCACCAGGTATGGAGGCCTTGAACTGCAGGATGAAAGGGAAAATGCAGGCAGTTTGTATTCTAGAGATGGCTCACAGGAGCTTGGCTTATGGTACATATGACTTTATTGTAAATGCATAGGCTTTTCAGCATTTCAGGAAAGCCTGTAGGTGAAAGTATATATAAAAGACCTTTACTCTTTATAATGGTATAAAAATGCCCTCACTGATTTTCTTTTTGTAGGTCTTATAATTTACTTTTACTGTAATTTTAATGCAGAAACATGGCACCGTTGAATTTTGGACAAGATGTTTGATAAATTTCCTTGCTGTGCTTTCCTGTTCCAGTATTGTTTTATTTGGTCTGTATCAGACAAGTTTTTTTAAGGACAGTATTCTAAATGGAAGAGCTTTCACTTAATTCTTGTCTTCTGCAGTGGAAAAACTATTATCACTGCCAGCCTGGGAAACACTTACTTATTTGAAAGATAATACTTACTAGAAACATAAAGTTCTCTCTGTAAAACCCCAAACCACTAGCACTCACACATCATAAGAATTATTTTTGTGTTGTTTGTTTTGTTTTAAACAAAGCCATGAATTTCTTTACATGCATGACATTGATTGGAGATGACAGGACCACCTGATTGACATAGGCTTGAACAGATAATTATCACCTTTCTTAAGTACATTTTTGGTGCACCCAAAATAGCCAAATTAGCAGAATTATTCAAAGATTCACAAGGAATTCAGGGGAATAAGTAATGATTTCTTTAATAATAAAATATTTGTTTAATAATTCATAAATTCCAACAGTCTTTTCCCTCCTAGCCTCCCTTCTTTTCTCTCAGCTTTATCAAAAAAACCCTAAAAATGAGTAATGAATGGAGAAATATGGAGAAATAATAATTTAAAAAAGGCTAATTTTGCAACTGAGGGTTTACAGTTACATCACAGGCATATATATTCATTTTACATATTAATTTGTGAAACCTTCCATGCAGAGATCAACACGAACGGCCTTCTGCTCTGCAGTTGCTGGACCATCCCTTTGTGAAAGGAAGATGGTGAATTTTTCAAAACTCTTACAAATGAGCATGTGTTTTCCATGGAAAAGATTTTCACTTGTGAAAAAAAGACCAGGAGGAACTGGACTTCAATGTGACAGCAGAAATACTGGAGAGCAGTTGTATTCAAGGAGTCTGTTCTGCAATGTGTGTCCCTCACAGTGAACAGCAGGCCACCTTGTGTTGTATTTGGAGAGACTTAAAGGGAAAATAAAGTCACCATCAGTGGCATGTGACAGGCCAGGTAAGCTGGAATGTCTGTAGAATGCTATGGAACACAAGCTATGGGCAGAGAGCTCTGCAGGTAACTCCAGCTTGGAGATGAGTAATGAGTGTGATGATCCCACATGTGAACCTCAGACCATCTACTGGCATAAAATGTACTGAGGCTTTATTCAGTCAGGTGAGCCCTTTTGTTTAACTGGACTTTCACTTCACTTTTTAGCTGAAAGTTTTTTACACACATGGATGAGCCCTGTGTTCCTGAGGCCCTGTATCTCCATGAGATACTGTGGTGGTAATGATAGAGATAATGATCTAAACAATGGGGCTGCCTGTTTTAAATGAAGTAGTGCATTTTATGGGCACTTTCAGGTCGCAGAAGGTTGAGGTTGGAAGGGGCTCTGGAGATGCTCTGGTCCAGCCCCACTACTCAGAGCAGGGCTGACTGAATTGGGGTGCTCAGGTCCTTGTCCCATTGATTTTATGGATGGAGACTCCAAAGCCACTCAAGGCAACATGCTCCAGTCTTTCACCCCCCACAAGATAGAAATGATTTTAGGTCAAGTTGTCCCATTGTACCTTGTCCTGTCACTGTTAGCACTGCAGAGTCTGGCTCTGTCTTCGTTACTGTCCCCATGGGGTGCTGGTACTCACTGAAAACCTGAAATGCTTCTCCAACCACTTGAGTGAGCACTGTCTGTGACTGGGTGACACAAACAGAGCCCCTCTGCACTCCAATCTTTACACTTAGTAGAACTAGCTACTACAAACTGAACAAAATTAAATAAAACGTGAAAAGCTTTATTAAGTATTAATAAAGCAAAAAAAGCAGGTATTAGTATTTAGAATGCCTTTTTGTTGATAAGATTTCTTCCTATCAAAGTGGGGTAAATCTTTAGCTTTTTTGGAGCACCCAGGCTCCAGGAAGAGAGGCAGTAAAACTCAGCCCTACAAGTGTCCAGAGCTGAGCTCTCAGGAATCCAAGACCCTGATTTCAGTGCCAGCAGTATTATGAACATTTGTGTTTTACAAATGGGAAAGAAGGCAGTTCTATATTTTATATAAAACCAACTTTCCTCAGAGTGCTAAACATCTTAGTTACTTAAATAGCTTTCAAACTTAATTTTATTCCAGTAGCTTGACCTTAGGGAGTTAAGTCTAAACTTTATGAAAGCAAAGAGAAATCAGTACTTCTAGCAAAATTCTTTATTAATAGTTTCTGTAGGTATAATGTCACATAACAATGACAGAACATTATGCCAGTATAAGATAAATCCTAACATCACAGTAATCTTCAAAGTTCAAGCAGTTAACAGTCCTTTTTTGAGGAGTATTGTTTGGTGCTCATGCCAGACATCCATGGCAACATCATGTTAAAGTATCTTCATGTTAAAGTACCTCGCAGAATAAAGGCAGGAGCCCGGGCATGTGAGCTCTAGTGGGATGTACATAATTCCATGATGTGTACTAATTCTTCTCAGATTAAGGTAGAGTCTTCAACAAAGCTGCAAAGTAAATATGAGGGTTTATTTATCATGAAATGAAGCTGAGATGAGAGTCATAAGCAAAGAAAGAATGGGAATGCTTTAGAATATATAATTAATTAAAAAAAGGTCAGCATTACAAACCCCCCTTATGCACATCTTATAAGCAAAACTAACATCTGTAACTTGTTAAGAGTTCTCCAGTATTAAGGTTACCATTTATTTGCAATTTGTCATGTTTAATCCAGTTAATTACACTGAAAGTAATCATTAGAGGTTTGTAAAACTTGAACCTGAGTTTTTAATCAAAATGTGAAAGCACATTTTTGCTTCTGCTAAACCAGACTTCAAGAATGAGGTGTCAGTTTAAGGCCAGCACTTGCAACAAGGGTATTTCAGTTTAATCAGAGCTGTGCTTGCAGCAGAGCTCAGGGCCCAGCACAGCTAAACCAAGCCCTGTGTTAGTCTGGGGAGTCTTGTGTGCTTGGCTGAGCCTGTCTGCTGGAGCAGTCTAGAAACAAGTCTAACTTTGCATATTTCTTACTTGAGGAGATCAGAGATTTTCACACCAAAATCCAGGTGCCTAATTACAGGTATCCAATGTAACAAGGGGAAAGGGTGTGAAATCCTGAAAAACACCTTTTTCATGGGACCCTGAGCGATTCAGTGAGCAGGGTCACACTTTGCTTCATTATTTATAGCGTTGGTGCAGGGCACACCTTGCTGGTTTAAAGACTACAGCCTTCCTTTCTGAAACCAGTAAGGAGCCATTACAGTGCATGCAGCCTGCCTAGCACTTGCTGTGACTGCAGGTTTCCTCAAGATTAGAAGCTCAAATCTCAGCAGCTGAAGGTACAGCCCTGTCCTGGTATTATTGTAGGGTTACCCAGGGTTTCTGTCACAGTAACGAGAGCCCTGGTCACTTCTCAGAAGGGAGGGGCCACAGGCAGCCAACCCAGCTATGTTACACTGCTCTTGGAATTACCACCAGCACTAGGATGTAAAAATTTGCATCTAAAAAATCCTCTCTTTCCAAGGAAGCAGAGCCTGGTCCCCAAAATATGAGTCTCTTGAGATGATTTGGGTTCAAATTTAGCGCTGTTCCATAAACTCAGTAGGAACCGATGCCATTTCTACACCATTCCTATCAAACCTCTGGTTCCTGCACACAGGGAAAGAACTGGAGTTCTCCCAAGGAAGGGCCCTCAGGACACACTCCAGTGCCTCTTCTCCCCTATTTTCCCCTTCCCACAGGGACCAGCACCATGGGACAGCTCAGGAATTTTAGGTGTTGTCAAAGAACACAATTTGTGAACTATGGCAACACCAGTGTAGCTGCTCCAAGTGCAGGGATATAGTACCCAAACTGTAAAACCCAAGCAGTGAGTTTCAAGGTTATAAATTTAGTTTGGATTTGTTATATCCATTTCAGAAGCCAGAGAAACAACCATTCCCAGTAGCAGTGGGAGAGAAGACTCCTGGTACTAATTATCTCTTTAAGGTGTAAGGAGTTAAGCCTTTCAGAGAAAGGAGAAATTAACTAGCTAGTTCAGGCTGGCATCACTTCCAAGGCTCAAGACACTAATTTTTAGAACTTAAGTGCATTTACATCAAATTAAAGAGAGCAAAGTATTTGCTCAGTCCAATCAACTTCCCTGCAAAACAAGGATTGGGAACCCTTCCCATAAGATCTTAGAAAGAAAATGGTGTGGTGCTGTCACCCACCCCCTCACTGCTGAAAAGAAAAATAATAATAAAAACCCCTCTACCGTCAGACCTGGCCTGACACTGCTCACTGTTATCACCATGCACAGGCTCTGCCCACAAGGTGGAGAGAAGGAGCAGCTTAAATGGCACAAAACGTCTAGAATTTGCTTTCCAGGTACCAAATACCTGATCAAAGTAATGGAAATAAAGGAAACAAGTAAGACTTCAGACTTTCCAGCATTCCATTATTTGAATGATTTGATAACAACTAGCACTGTTTTGCCAATAACTGAAAGGGGATCTTAGTGTTTACTAACAAAGTTGGAAAATTAAACATAGGAAAATGGGATCATTTCTGCACAATAGAGGTGAGGTAGGGAATTTTATTGAAAATACTTTTTTTTTTTACAAGTTCTTAGAAATAAACTTTTTTCTAATCTCACACAAACAGCTGTACCTCAAAAATTCAACTAATCTATTATGAAACATTTATATTTACAGTTAACCAAAAGAATATACAGAACTGCCATGTTATGCAAATAGCCAAGTACCAGCTCACAGTGAGATACATGACCCCAGAATTCCCACCATCAGGAAGATTCAACATATGAAAGAATCTCACTATTCTACAAACCTCATCTCACAGAAAGGAAAGATTTTTAATAGTGTTGTAGCAAGGTCTCCACTACAGCATCATTTTACAAATTACATAATTAATGTACTCAAATTTGTAACAAAAAACCTGTAGTAAGTGATGAACAAAGTAATAGTGTCGACTATGAGCCTTTTATTGCGTTTATTCAGTCATTCACGTGAGGCTGATGCCGATCCAAATAGTTTTCATTCATTTCCAACACCTCAGTCAGGCTGCAATTCACACCATTCACTAATTTACAGTGGGTTTCAGTCAGCAAAAACTAGTGGCACCTGATTGCATCCCCTCTCCCTCCCTCTCAGTCCTAGGATCACCACATGGAATTCAGACACAAACACACAGACAATTTTACCTATTTACAATTACATTGAAAACCAAACCCTTTGAGTTTCATGGACATCCTTTACAGAGAAACCAAAACCCACTGTTTGGATCTCAATGTAACACAGCAACATTTTGTCCACCATATTTCACAATTTCCCAGAATCAAAACAGGTAATAGGTTTTTTTGTAACAGCACCATAGGAGGAAGGCCTATGCTCTTTTCCAAGGTATATTAGACAGGCACTAGTTACCATCCAGACATTTGAACTTCAGGTTGTGACAGCAACTGCTATATTTACAGTACAATATATTGCTTATCCAGAGTGGCTGTATAAGATGCATTTCCTGGCACAATTATTTCAACAGACACAAAAAGAAAGTACTGTAGTGCTTCAAAGACAGTTTCCTGCTATTTCAAGAGTCTGTCCAGGCTCTAGTTTAGGACAGTATATAATGAAGATTACATTGGTTACAAATCAGACCCAAGAGTAGCACTGAGATGGAAAGGAAAGGGACTATAAAAGGATAGAAAATATTCAACAATGCAGAAGTTTGTAACAAGAAGTTACATCCCGAATGTAGAAAAACAACCAAGTCAGGAGGGATAAGACAGCTTTGGATTTTGTACATGGGCCTTGATTTACACTAAGATATAGCAGAAAATGCAATCAGGTTTCCATTTAAATATTCCTTAAGTGTAAAAAAAGTATTCATAGTTTAAATAAAACTTATTCAAGTAATTACAAGCGTTTGCATTACTGGAAACAGAGTATTACATAGTAATTGAGATACCTGTAGTTACATCATACAGCAACTACCAACCAGGCTGATACTGAACAGTTTTCTCATTTAAAGCACAGGTGAGTAAATAACTGGAAGGGCAAGGCTGCAGATGTTCATGGGGGACTTACAGAGTTAAACAAGCACTAAGGGAATGAGGAGGCTTAGCAAAAGTTTACTTCACATCATGTTCACTTCTAAGTTAAAAGAAGTCACTGAAGACTGGCTGTTGCTACTATAGATCTACTGAGTTCATGTTGAGGTACTTCAGAGCTTATGGACAGTTGTAAGAACCCAGAAGGTCAGTTCCCTGTTCTGCAGGTGGCTGAGCTGCAGTATTGGCTTTGAGAACACAGCACATGCACACCCATC